GTCTTCCCTGACCTCTCCCCACTACTACGACTCCAGAGGGTAGTCGTTTCCTTGACGTCACTCCCATAAGCATCACCTGTGCATGAGAACAGGGCATGTGTCCCTCTGTTGGATAACATACCTGCATCTATCTTCTCTCCCTCCAAGTTGCTGAGTGAGTTTCTCTCCATAGGCAGTTCATCATGTTCAACTCTGCCTCTCTGTCCTCTAGCTTTATCTGGAACACTAAAGAAGCTCAACATATATTTGACAAAATAGTAAATCAATAAACACAAAAGAATAAATAAATCAACATAGCTGGGCATGGTGGCTCATGCCTACAAATAATTCCAGCACTTTGGGAGGCTGAGGCAGGAGGATTGCTTGAGTTCAGGAGTTTCAAACCAGCCCAGGCAGCATAGCAAGACCTTGTCTCTACAAAAAAATTAAAAAAAATCAGCTGGATGTGGCGCCACACACCTGTAGTTCCAGCTACTCAGGAGGCTGAGGTGGAAGGATCACCTGAGCCCAGGAGGCCAAGGCTGTGAGCTGTGATCATGCCAAAGCACCCTAGCCTGGGTGACAAAGCAAGATTCAGATTCAAAAAAATGTTTTTTTGTGTTTTTCTTTTAATTAAAAAATAAATAAGTGAACATGTAAAGGAACTGATTATTGCATTGTCATATGCATGAAATAATTACAGATGCATATAAATGAATTTATTACATATATTAATGAATCAGCTGATTTTGTGCGTGAATTAATTAATCATGTTTCTCAACTGAGGAGCATCAAATTAATTACTAATATGTATTGATTAATGGTTACGGGCACTTTCATTCACTGATGAATAAATAGAAAAGAATAAGTGCGTGAGATACATGAGCTGTCCTAGGTAATTGAGGATAGAGACTGTTTTGTTTACAAATTACATATTTTTTTGAATTTTATTTATTTTTATCTTCAAGATGTGGGGCACAATCCAGGATTAGGTATACAAGTGGCCGTTGTACAGGTAAAGTTTGGGCCTCTCTTGGATCCCCACTTTGCCCAGGTTGAGATCAGGTACCCTTATTGATGTTATATGCCTCTCTCTCCCGTAGCAGTGTCCTGCTACTGCCGATCCCTTTTTTATAGTATTATGGTAAATATTCAGGGTCTGCTTATGAGTGAGAACATGTGGTACTCAGTTATTTGTTTTTGTGATAGCTCCCTGAGTATTATAGACTCTAGAGACATCCAAGTTGCGTAGTCTATATGTTTGTCCTTTTTATGGCTGCATAATATTCCACTGTGTATATGTCCCACAACACACATTACACATTTTAAACCAAATTTTTTTTTTTGAGTTGGAGTCTCTCTTCGTCGCCCAGGCTGGAGTGCAGTGGCATGCTCACAGCCACCCCAGCATCAACCTGCTGGGCTCAGACGATCATTCCGCCTCAGCCTTCTAAATAGCAGGAACTACCGGTGCACTCTACCACACCTAGCTAATTTTTTGATTTATTGTAGAGATAAGGTCTTACCAAGTTGCCCAGGCTGTTCTCAAACTGGTGGGCTCAGGCAATCCTCTCACCTTGGCCTGCCCAAAGTACTGGGATTATAGGTGTGAGCCACCGTGCCTGGCCCAGCAAAATGTTTCTTTTTTTTAATTAAAAATGCAATTTACTCAACTTTAAGAAAGTTAGAAAGGAGAGAAGAAAATAAGGAAGAAATTACTGAAAGGAAAAATACCAGTAAACCCAGTGTTTCAACTGCAGCAAACTTGGCATATTCTCTTTACATGTTTTTCATGTAGCTATTGTCTTGACTTCTCTTTTGTGTGTTTTCAAAATGACTGCATAGCATGCAGTATAATAGACAATCATAGTTCAGTTTTTTGAAATCCACCAGTCAAAGACCATGGCTGAGGGAAACAAAATGAGGTTTATTTAGCTTGCTGCCGCAAAGCAGAATGTTCATCAGAGTAGCTATGGAGGTCTCAGTAGGAGGACATGGGGCAAGGCTGATGAAGGGATGGTCTTACACAGGGTGATTTCAAGTGGGATTGAAGAGGAGAATGTCGTATCTGAATTGAATGCTATCAGAGATCAGGGGCAATTTAGGGATTGGCTATCTTGGCAATTATTCTGAAGGAGGTGGGAGGATCAAAGCAATGCTGCCTTGTCATTGGCAGATAATCAGAGGTTAGAAGGATGAGTACAAAATAGAAGGCTATTCAGTTGTTTTGTGGTTGTGCAGTACCTGTGTCTCTGTCTTGTTTCAGACATGGTGAAAGATACATCTTACCTGGTCGTGGCTGATACTTAGTGTGTGTTTATCACAGCCACCCTCTTACTGCCTGCTGTCAGGGTCAATTTTCACTTTCTGAAACTATTTACTTATTGATGGACATTTAATTTTTTCCACCTTTTAAATTCTGTGATGTAATATGCCGAACACCTTTGTAAATATAACCTTTAAAAAAATAAAATCCTAGAGATGGCGATTAGCATCAAACGCGTGGTCATTTTTTTTGTTGATCTCTTTAATTGCCAAATTGCCACATATCAGTTTGAATGATTATCAGTAATACATGATACATTGTCATTGTGAATTGCATATTCTAAAATTGTCTACTTAATAAACAAAAAGAGAATCTAATTTTTAGCTTGAGTTTCTATATTTATTTGTGAGGTTGAATTTTTTTTTCTAACATGTGTCTTTATGAATTGTGTTTGTTGTTTTTGAAGTATCTGTTCATGTTTTTGACAAGTAGTCATTTGAGTCCTTATGCTTCTTACTGAGTTTGTGTTAGCTCTTCAAGTAATAAGTTGAAAATACTTTTTACAATCTAGTCTAGAAAATACTTTTTAGCATCTTAACCTTTCATGTAGTTCCAGTTTTTCCCTTGGTACTTTCTGCCATGCCCTTCTTATTTTCATACCTCCTTCCAACTGCCCAAGCTTGATTCTACTAGTAAGTTTAATCTTCAGTCCATCTGAAATTATTTTCGAGCATGATGATAAACGTGGCTTTAAAATATTACTCTTATAGATATAATTATTTAATTCAATTTCTCAATAGCGATCTTGTTCATTTTCTTTTTCTGAGTAGCATATTTGGACAGACTTGAAGATGTTTGTAATGTTAAAAGTGAATATTTGCTACTTTTGGAAATTTTTTGTATTAGACAAATCTTAAATAAATAATTTCTTCTAGGCAAATTTGTTAGCTAATTGCCAGGCACAATGGTGTGTGCCTGCAGCCCCAGATACTCCAGAATCTGAGGCAAGAAGATCACTTGAGTGCACAAGTTCAAGACTACCTGGGCAACCCTGCCACTAAAAATAAATTAGTAAATGAAAAATTTTAAAAAATTACTAGATTAGATTTATTTTAAAAAGTCATCTATTGGTGAAAGTCACAACAACAGATATGATGAATGAGTAAGGAAAAAATTATGAGCAAATAGCAAAATGTTATGGCGATATATTAGCTGCAAGATTCTATGAATTAGTGCATTGAAATTTACAAAATGAGATAACTGTGTTTTGATTTATGTTGCTATATTTGTGGTAATTTGTCACTCGAGGATAATTATCTATTAGTTTTCTATTTTCCCTAATCATTTTGGTTGGAACTTTATTTGAATAATAAAGACAAAGATGTGTCAATAATGTCTGAACTGAATTTTTGTTTTATGTAATCCTGGTTTTAAGTGAGAGTGATAAAGTTCTAGAAATGAAGTTTATTCTCATACATACCCATTGGAGACAAAATCTATAGGAAATGAGAATTTCTGAATGTTAATATTTCAGTTCTATATTCCTTCCCAGCCTGACTTATAATTGTCTAGAAGACATTCCTAAAATGACTTAGAACATGTTCCTCTGTATCAGATATTTTGTACTAACTTTTATATCTGATTGTAGTTTTGAGGTAAAAAGGAAATGTACTCAATCATAAAATATATATTTAAAATTATGGATGTTTGATTTTAAATATTTCAATAATGTTTTGAGACATAGTAAATATTATTAAATTACATTAAACTAATTAATTTATTTATTTTGAGTTGGAGTCTCACTCTGTCGCCCAGGTCGGAGTGCAGTGGCACACTGCTCATGGCCACTGCAGACTCAACCTGCTGGGCTTAGGTGTTCCTTTAGCCTTATATCCTTCCAAGTAGCTGGAACTACAGGTGCATGCCACCAACCTGGCTATTTAAAAAAAAATTTATTGTGAAGATGAGATCTCACCAAGTTGCCCAGGCTGGTCTTGAACCTCTGGACTCAAGCAATCCTCTCACCTCGGCCTCCCAAAGTCTCTGGGATTACAGGCTTCAGCCACTGTTTCTGGCTGTAAATATTATTTTAAATACTGAAGCTGAATATCTTTAAATATCCATACCAACACACATGCATATTTTACAAGCATAAATGCAACCTCCTACATTAAGCTTATGTTGGGGTGTGTGTGTGTGTGTGTGTGTGTGTGTGTGTGTGTGTGTGTATTTAAAATCCATGATAATTGCAGAAATGGAAACAGTTGCTTTTCCTTTGATTTTGAAGGCTCAACTCCACCAGGATCCTCGGTTCTGCATATGACATACTTTCTTCATTTATGACAATCTCACAGCATCAACTGTGTCCTGCAGTACTTTCCCCGTAATTATTTTCCAGACTCCTCATATAATGCTTTTAATGCCACTATATGGAGACAGTTATAAATTAATTCATTTTCAGAGGCTTTTTAAGAAATGTGGATTTATTTTAGGTTGTAGTTAATTTTGCATCATTCCTTTTATCGGAGGATTAATACAGAGTTTTTAAACAATTATCGATAAGGGCTTCAGTGTTTCAATCTAGGAAAAAAAATTGCAGAGTAATGGTGAAGCGGTTTTCTTCTTTCTTTTATTTTTTTCTGGCTTGGGAGGAAAGCAATCACCGCTCCCTCTGCCATATGCTTCAACTTTCCTGACTGTTCTGCCACCATCTATTCCATTAACATTATGATTAATGAAAGCTCTCCAGAATTTCCAGCACCTTGAAAACTAGCCAATGCTTGCTCTTTGGAGGCTACATTGGAAATAAGTAACAATATAAACATAGTGACTGGGGCTTTTAAAATCTTAAAAGAAACCATCACGATCATCTTTTCACTACTACTGAAAGGAGAACAACAATTCACATTTCTGGCATTGCTAATGGCAACACAGCAACTGAAAGAAAGCATGAATTTCTGGGAGTAGCATTAGGATAGACTCCTGCTGAGCTCACCAGTTCCTTGCTCTGCACAGCTGCTTTCTCAGCTGGGGGTTTGAAATCAGCACAGTGAGAAGAGACAGAAATGACCATGATGCATCTTCCTCACTATGAGAGAAAGGTAATGTTCAATTAGCACGTCAGCCTTCTGCTTCCCAACGGACTTATTCCTGTCTTTTGTTTGTTTCTATATTTTGCTTTGGATCTTTTACTTTATTTTGGTTCTTTTTCATTTTATGGAGTTAAATGCCTAAACTAAAAATGTTTTTGTGCTTTCTCTGATGAGAGAAGGACACTATACTTCTCGTGGCTTCACTGAAATCAACAAAAGCAGTGTGTTTATTCATACTCGCAGGATATTCACATGGATCATGTCCCCCTAGGTAAGCTCACATGTAGCATAATAAAAATATCACAATTGAAAGAGCCTGTTTGAAACATGTTTCAATAAATGCAGTATCCTACTTGTTGAGAATTCACCTATTTGTCTTATCTGTTGCTCTGTTGTAAAATTTTACCATGGTGTTAATGATGGGCTCTACCTTAAGGCTGGTGTGAGAAGTAATAAAAAATAGTCAATTTCAATAAAAGACTGTCTTTAATTTTCTAGCAATAAAGAATCATATTATCTTCATTGTCGCTTGTTACAAATTTTACTTGGGTTGCATAGATAAAAATTAAAGAAACATGATTTTATAGAATCCTATTCTTAACATTATCTAATTCTACTTCTTAGAGAAAAATCCACTGGGGTTTACAATAGTATCCTTTCATCCTCTTTGGCATTACAGTTGACCCTTGAACAATGCATGGATTAGGGGCACAGACCCCAGGTGGTTGAAAATCTACGTATAACTTTTGACTCCTCCCAAACTTAACTACTAACAGTTAAGCTTACTGCTGACTGGAAGCCTTACCATTACCATAAACAGTCAATTGACACATATTTTGTGTGCTATATGTGTTATATATAGTATATTCTTATAAGTGAGCAAGCTAGATAAAAGAAAATGTTATTAAGAAAATTATAAGGGAGAAAAATATATTTGTTATTTATTAAATGGAAGGGGCTCATCACAAAGGTCTTCATCCTTTTTTTTTTATGTTGAGCAGGGTGAGGAGGAAGAGGAAGAGAAGGGGATGGTCTTGCTGTCTCAGAGGTGGCTAAGACAGAAAAAAATCCATCTATATGTTGACATGCACAGTTCAAACTCATGTTGTTCAAAGGTCAGCTGTAATTTATTTTGCTAGCCCAGAATGATATGAAAAAAGGGGGGGCTCCAAGGTGTGTGTGTGTGTGTGTGTGTGGGTGGGTGTGTGTGTGTGTGTGTGTGTATGCTTAACTCTGACTTGATATTATAAATTTCCTTTGAGATTTTAATTAGCCTTCTGCTTGGAAAGCCAATGCTTTTGAACTCTAGTAATGTTCTTAGGAGTGAAATTCAGGGGTTGAATCCTCATTGGAAACATGCCAGTTTAGTTTTATTTAAATGGTTTGAACTGAAATGTTGATTGCCTACACTTTAGCAGACACTCAACATAAAATCTGGTCAATGGTTCATTTTACAAACAGTTACTACATATTAGGTTCTAGGGTTGTCAATGAAGACAAAAGATAGGCATGTGGCTCTTACTCTCAAGATACCTATAGCTTAATCCTTTGGATGAGTAAGCTGTTTTCCAAAGAAGGCTGTGATATTTAACTCTTTTGTTGTCTATCACTTACTGCAGCAAGGTTTTGCAGAAGGTATTAAATTTCACTCAAAGCAAAATAATATTTTTCTAGTAGGCTACTGGTCTTCAATGGATTACATTTTTAGCTATTCAGTCCACAGCTGTTTATTGAATGACTGTTTTGTACCAGGCACTGTTGTGAATACTAGGGATACAGCAGAAAACAAGGCACACAGAGCCTCTGTCCTCACAGACCTTATATCCTAGCAGAGGTCCAGAGAGGAACAGGTAGCGTGCACTTTCACACTTGTTTTCAGTAGAATAAGGGGATGGAAGTGCTAGATACTGAAACTACTGACTTGATACTATGACAATTTGTACAGTCGACTTGGTTTTTGTATTGTATGGCACCAACACAAAGAAAGAGAAAGAGCCTCTACAAATATTTGTAAGCACTTTCAGAACACTCAAAGTGATTTTAAAGTCAAACAACAAAACATTTGTTATAATATATCCCGTCCAAATGCTGTGCTAAGAAGAATGTGCAAAAATTAATAACATTGTTCAATCAGCATAGTGATTGTAATTTTTGGACATTCAGAAGTGATTAAAGTTCCTTAGTAATAGTTTACCCTATGCTTTCCCTTGCCCTGCCAATTGGCAAATCATACAGGTTTTTTTTTTGTTGTTGTTGAGTTGGAGTCTCACTCTGTCACCCAGACTGGAGTGCAGTGGCCGCTCCTGGCCACCGCAGCCTCTACCTGCTGGGCTCCAGCGATCCTTCCGCCTCAGCCTTCCAAATAGCCAGAATTACAGGCATGCGCTACCACGCTCTGCTGATTTTTTGATTTATTGTAGAGATGAGATCTCACTGCCCAGGCGGGTCTCGAACCTGCGGGCTCAGGCAATCCACTCACCTCAGCCTCCCAAAGGCATGGGATTACAGGCTGAGCCACCAAGCTACACAGATTTTTAATGTCTCCTGAAATTGCTACACACTCTCTGTTGGTCTGCTTTGGTTACTAGTGATAATATCCACTGAGCATGCTTTAGATATTCCAACATGGAAATAATTTGGAAAACATTTATATGTGGTTTCACATCACTTATCTTCATTTTGAATAGTTCATTTTTCCTATTTTAAAATTGCAGTGGAATACAGTTTTCTTATTTTCTTTCTTAGTCTCATTTCTGGTTTCTTTTTTTTCTTTTCTATCTCTATCTATCTATCTATCTATCTATCTATCTATCTATCTATCTATCTATCTATCATTTATCTACCTACCTATCTTTCTCATCTTCTATTATCTATCTCTATCTGTGTCTGTCTCTCTATCCTCTATCATCTATCTCTATCTGTATGTCTATCTATCTATCTATCTAATGTATCTAATCCATCATCTACTATTTATCATCCATCCATCATGTATCTCTATCTTCCATATAATCTTTAGAACTCATACTCAGGTATTTTAAAACCATTTTTTCATTATCACCTCTGCCATAATAGCTGAAAACCAAAGTTCTCATGTCCAAATCTCCTTTGCAGTGAGAGCAGTCATATGCTTTAGATTTGGACATGGGCATAAACTTGCTAAGAGCGCTATGAAAGATTTTATCTGATATAACGGCATATCACAGGCTATTACCTGATCTAAAATCTGGCATAGCTTCTTTTCTCTTCTTTCTTGAAGGTGCACTGGAATGTGGAAAGCTGCTGCAGCTTGGTCTTATGACCATGAGGAGGCAAGCATGAGAAATTCCAAGAGAATTTCAGAAATGCCGAACCCAACATGGTCAAACCAGTGAACCAATGCTAGCTGCCTCCCTCAAGAATAGTTATGTCATAAAAATCATCCAATATTTATTAAGCCACTGTAAATGGTGTTTTCTGTTATTTTTAGTCTAAATCATTCCTAACTGATGCCACATACATGCATGCATAAACAATTTGTTAGAGGTTATAGGAAGTTGAGCATAAAGTTATAAAAAGAAAACACTTAACAGCAGAGGCAAAATGCAATTCTTGTCTTGAAGAAACTTATGGTGAACATTTTATATACTAAGTCAATAAAAATGAAAAATCTTTCTGATGTTAGTCCAAGGTCAGCAGCTAAGCTGATGGGTGTGTTTCTACTGCTTCTTGGTGTTTGCTTTGTCATATACAAGATGTGGGATTGCATTACTTCTCAGGTCCATTTCAGATCTAAATTCCGAAGTTTATTAGGATAATATGTGCATTAAATCCATGGATTCATAACACTACCTGTTGAAAGGTATTTTAACATTTGTATTTCATGGATATTTTGAATGTGAAAGAAGTCATTGTACACTTCCTGTTCATGGTTAGGATTCTGTACATTCTTCGTGAAAAAGCTAAGCTATGAAGTTGAGTCTTTTGAGGTGCCATTCTATAATTTAATTTATTTAGCACTTGAAATCTTATTTACTTATTTACCTACTGAAATTAGCTAACTACAACATCCTGCAAAACTTTCTTTCAAGAAAATTCTATACAATGTCACTAATTGTCTTCTTTTTTATGAGCATAAGATTCCATTAATAAGGAGGTATGCCTGATACACTAGGCTTTACAGTCCTTTTGTGATATGACTGTATAATTGTGTGAAACTGTCATAAATAATTTTTATCAATATCAAGAAAAATATTTTCAAATTGCTCTTGGGAAGCATATAGCACAACAAATAAAATATTATTATAATGTTTAAGAGAATATGAGCAAATGTGAATTAGTGGAAGTATTGATCATAAACAAAATTAATTATTGGTTTATTATATTTTTTGTCTCTTATTCCATATAGGTCTATTCTATTTTTCCATCTCATCTTGCACTATTAAGGGGCTATGTGTGCTGACCAAATGCTAGTTGCTCCAACCAAGTCTTTATAGGGGTCATGATATGTTAATACTAAATTCTGACTTATAGTGTGATTGATGTTGGAAATTGAGATGTACAAAGAAGTCATTACCGGATATAGAAAATAAATAAAACAAAAAGGAAATAATGAATCGTCAGCACAGAAATTTAACATGGAAAATAAAATAAAAATAAAAAATGAAAAAGAAGAAAGAATGGTGCGTGTATGTTTGTGTCCGTGTGTGTGCATACACATAGGCAGAGGTGGAGTAGTTAGGGAGGACAAAAGTGCCACATTGTAAAGGTTGTGTCCTTTTTATGTGATGAAGAAATTGTTGCTGAATAATTAGCATTCTTTTTGTTTTTCAGGATAACATGTCGTCCGTGAAATGGAGAGTCAATTCGGCACTTAAAAATGGGAGGTTCTTGCTTTCTTTGAAGCGACATAGCATTTCAGGGTGGTAGTTGAGTACAACACGAACAGAGATGCAAGTCTTCACATTCTGGAAGCAGTCATCTCTGTTGCCAAGGAAACAGCCTCACTCAGCAAGGGTCACCTTTGGAAACAATTGCAAGACTTCAAAGTCGATCAATACAGAAACACTAAGACCTGAACTCCCTAGCTAATGCTGTCTTCTATTTTAAATGTCATTTTTGATCAACACTTGCATATGTGATTACTACTTAGTGGACAGTAGCAAGGCAAAATTGAATGTGCAAAGAGTCAAAGTATTTTTCAAGCTCTGTGCCTGGAGGTCCGTGGTTTTTTGGGGATATTTTGAATGTGGGCTTGTGCAGGATCAGGAGTCTGGAGATGAACTGACATAAGTTTAGAAAGAGAAGCTCCATTTAAGACTTCATTTGAAGAAAAAAATTCCACTCATTTAAAGAATGAGGATTCCTTACTCATACAAGCATATTTCATTGTACTTTGTCTAAATTAGTGAGATTTTGAAATTTCAGTTTCTGAAAATGTCATATATGCAGATTTCATGTCAATAAATCATGATTTCATCCATGAATTCATTTATTCTTTCTTTTTTATCAAATATTTATGGTTTTATACTGTATTTCAGGTACTACTCTGGGGATGAGAAGTATATAGAACAATGTTAGAGCCAAGTTGGCTTCCTAACTGAATTCCACCACTGGGCAGACCTACCTCTGATCACGGTGGTGGTGCTGGATTAGAGAAGGCATTTGTAGTATACAGACCTCCCACTCAACCCAGCTTCTGCAGAAGTTCATGCCTATGAGGAGAAAGGGCACAATGAGTTTGTTTATTTTTCCCAAATTTACCAATCAGGTGAGTTGCTTCCCTCTCCACACACTCAAGGTCTGGGAGACTAAATCTGAAGAAGAAAGCTGGTATGGAAACAGTGGGGTCACTTGCGTGAGAAGCACAGGGAGATGCTCAAAATTCTTCCTGGGGAAGTGCAGAAAAGATTTCAGAGACAGAAATGCTTGATCTTAGCCCTGAAGGTTGGATGAGCATTGAGCAGGGAGTCTACTCCTGGAAGTCCCAAGACTGAGACAACAACAAATGCAAAATGCAGGGATGTGGAGAACAAATTTCACTGTTGAAGTTTAGGAGATAATAGGGGATGTATTTGGCCTGAGCTCAGAAAAGGAAACTGGGCCTGGATCATAAAAGTGCGTATGTAGTGTGTATATATGTATGTGTGTATGTGTGTGTGTGTGTGTGTATATATATATATATATACACATATATATATATGATATACTTTATATATATATATCATATATATATGATACACTTTACTGCTAGTTTTCCAGGTTTTTCCTTATTTAATATTATAGTAAATACAGCTTTTAAGTAACTTGGTGTCATTCTCCCTTTTCCTCTTTGACAATATGAAATTAATTACAAATACTTTTGTGCTTTCAGAATTGGAATTTCTGGGGCCGTTTATCATCTAAAGCACAATTGTGAAATCTGACAATTAACCCTTGCTATTAATGCTCACAATAATAGTTGATTTATTAAAAAGACGGATAATAGAATTTCATAATAAGGGTTAGGACAGTCTCTACTTTCAATGTGAATAGTAGAATTACGTTGTTGGTATCAACCATTTCTTGAAATCATGTACCCTTCTATTTTTTGTTGGAAATTCAGACAAACTGATAAATACAGACAGTTGTTCTATCTCCTCAAGTGTTAAGAGCTGCACTGAAATGCACCTTGTTAACTCTTCCTTTGTGAGAGACAAGAATGAAACTTTGTGTATAAGAAAATGTGGCGGGTGCCAGTGTTTGGGAGCTAGAGCTTTTTGGCATCATCTAAGTCAGCCACCTGTTCTAGCCTGCATTTGCTGAATAAATTAGATGCTCTTGGGAGAGTGTATGCAGCTGACTGGGTTGCCTTGTTACCAAGGCAACCATTTTTCTTCTGCTCTCTGACTCCAAAGGTTTCATAACTCATTAGTACTCCTCTGGGCAACAACATGACAAAATTCCTTTCTTTTCTTTTCTTTCTTTCTTTTCTTTTTTTTTTTCTAATTCCTGATCAAGATGGTATTAGTGGCAATTAATAGACAGTCTTACCATATTTGTTTATTCAGATACAACACTTTCCAAATGTTGGAAAAACTTAGGCTCAAACCTTAAAGGAATATAAGTTATAGCTCAAGGGAGGGATGTGAATAATAATGAATAAAAGATGGGAACTATTTCCAATCTCAAATATTTTTAAAAATTAAAGAGTCTTATTTATTTATTTGTTTTTATTGTTTCTCTTTTTAAAAAAGAGGAGGAGGAGGAAGAGGGGCAGTGAAGATATTTTCAAAGTGGAGTTTGTCTAAGACAACATATGCAAAAAACACAGATTCTCTGAATTCAGTTCAAAGAGCAGTGAATGAAAAACTATCTTTATAAATTAGTTCAGCTATTATCTCTAACAGGGTGTTCTCGCTTTGCAGAGACAAGAAACAAGAAAGGGCAACGATTTAGTAACAACATTATTAGATCCATCAGGTCATAAGTTCAGGGGCTAAGTGATCAATTTCTGGGAGGTTATCCTCTGAGACACAGGGATTTGGCAAAGAAAGGCCAGAGGAGTAGTGGAGAGATGGCAGACCCCATGCTTATGGTAACGTCATCAGAAATCATTGCAGGTTTTCATCCTCAAATGACATTTAGACCCAGTACATTCATTTTCTTCTATTTTGTAATCCATGTCTGCTGTATTTCCTCTCCTCCTTTGTATGTTGTCCCTTTTTACTTTAAATCCTCATGCATTAAAGAAACCTCAGTAGGCCTCCCACAAGACAAACCCTTGAACAGTTACTATACTAGGAATTTTACATGTTATCCTGTTTGCCTCATTCCTCATGCCAACTCGATAAAATAGGTGTCATTTATACCATTTTACAACTGAGTAGACTGAAGTCAAAGGTAGCAGGGTTGATACTCTGAGTTCTAACTCTTTCCAAAGCCATGTTTTCTCATTATCCTATGGTGTCTCTAAAGTTCTGTAATAATGAGATATATTCTTTCTGACTATTGAAATATTGGGGAGAAAAAAGAAGTTTGAAACATTGAAATTATGTTTTCAGGAGGGCTTTTGTCCTAGTATTATTATTATTATCACTATTATTTGACAAGCAGAAAGCAACTTGAGGCTCTGCCAAATTTACTATCATGTTGAAGCTTTTCTATGTATTTATTATGGGAATAGCTTTATCATATGTGGCAATTTCGCTGACACTTCTTTTTAGTATCTTTTTAAAAATATGAGAGAAACTGATTAAAATCGAACCTTAAACTCCTATCTTGTACTTATTTGTTGCTGTTTGTTGCTGAGGAAGAACATGTAACTTGCTAATGCTCACAGCAGGACTGCTAGGACCTCTGTTAGAGATTAAGCTTGTGTTTTGATTGGAGATAAATCTTAGTGCAATCAGATTTACCCTAACTACTGATTATAATGCTGCATCCTGACATTTCAAGGTGAAATTGCTATTTTCAAATAGACAGTTCTTGGACAGATATGGGGACACTTTAAGATATGACCACACTATGAATAGACAATTTTTAAAAAGTACGGTTCTCGATGTGCAATAGAGCAGTGCAAATATTTTACTTGGTGTGAAGGCAAGGGGATCCCGTTTCTTTGTTAGGTACATTGTGATTGATCCCTGCTTTAGTTAAAGATTAACGCTTCACTAGAAGATCATAAATATGCAGAAGGAGCACAAAGACATTATTCCCCAGAACACAGGGATTTGACAAAAGAAGAAAACACATACTTGTATTTGCTACAAGCAAGAGGGACTAGGCTTCCTCCCCTCCCCCTACCCCACTTCCAGCATCAGTTTAATGTTTAAAAGTTACTCAGAAGAATGTGGCAATTATTTGCAATCTGAAAAAGAACGTTATGCAAAGATATTCTATTTGCATTTTGAAAAGCACCTTTATTTTAATTATTTGTTCTGTCATTCTCTTCCATAGTTATCTAGACTAGATTAAAATACTACTTTTGTGTTTCAGATAGTATGCTAAAGCCCTAGTTTATTCATCGTGCTTTCAGCAAACATTGGTGGACTCTCCTGTGCCAGGTACTCTGCTAAGTGCTGAGTACTCAGACACGAGCACACAGTTCTTATCTTCCATGAGCTCAGCTTTGTAAGGGAAACCTACAAGACAATTTGTGGCCTCTGTGGGTTTAATGCTGTCATGGAGTGTAATAAACTTGTGGGTCGAGGGACATATTAGCAAGTGTTTTCAAACAGAGAGATCCTTTGAGTACCTACTCACACTCAACCTGAATCAACCTTAGTGTCTTGAACTGTAGACCACTGTACCCATCACTGGCTCCATTATTCTCTCTCCTGTTTTCAGCCCTCTATTTGGGTATGCCACAGAATCTATCTTCCCACTTATAACATTGGTTTATCTAAATTCTAGTTTCTTCTCTACCCATGCTATGTTGGTCAATGCAAACAATGATTCTCCCTGGATGAGTTCACTTTGTTATGATCCTCAACAGCAAGGATTATAGGGTAATCCTAGCCCATTTCTCTCAATATTGTATTTTTTATTATCTGTCTGAAACTGCTAAACTGTTGACCTATTATTAACTCCAAGTGGCGGAGTATATAATAAATTCTTCTTCCCAAGGGATTGTCAGGTAAAGAGTACTTGTATCACCAAAAACACACCCTGCCTTCAAAAAAATAGCAGTCCTCCCTGCCTGGTGTCTGCTCATCTCTGTTGTGCATTTCTGTAACACCTATGATCAAGTTGCATGATGCCAACTAGAAGCCACAACACCAACTAGGAGAGAAAGTGGTTTATAGTCATGAAGGTTGGCCAGCGTCTCCCACCAACATTGGAAAACAACACATTTGTGGGATCAGGATTTATTTTGTTGTTGTTTTAAATATATATTTCAAGCATTCCCTTTTTCACACAGAAGAAATTATATTAACCATATTGAATTCCAGTTTGCTTTGTTCCCAAATAATTTGAAGACATTTTAGTATACTCAATTCACAAAAGAAGTTCGGTGATGGATTCTGGGCAATCCAAATCAAACCTCCAGAAGGAAGGCATTCAGGGTTGTTCTGGGAAGGCCTAAACAGCAAATCATTAGGTCATTGTCATGATGGACTCAACTCACATTGCCTTTTGCCTCTGGTTGTTCCTCTTCTGCTTTATACATTCCAAAGGAAGAGAACTTGGTTTAGTTTGGGTCACATGTCTCTACACTCGACTCAATCAATCATGGCCAGAGAGGCTGATAGAACTGACCACTGAGGGAATAATTACGAATATTTTAACCACTCTAATTTGGGTTCCACAATTATCCTGGTATTTTTCTCATTTTCTTGAAGGGACCCAGTTTTTAAATAAAAGTGATTTGCCAGCCCTAACTCTCAATTTATTGTCTCAAGTGTAAACAGCTAGGCAAGGCTTCTTTTTCTTTCTTTCTTTTTTTTTTTGAGTTGGAGTCTCACTCTGTCGCCCAGACTGGAGTGCAGTGGCCACTCCCGGTCAC